CAAAAAAAAAAAAAAAAAAAAAAAAAAAAAAAAAAAAAAAAAAAACTAAATAATAAAAAGACAAAAAGTGAGCAAAGGATCTGAATGAATAGTTCTTCAAAGAAAATAGAAAAATGACCAATAGCGCAGGAAAAGATACTCAACACCATTAGCCGTCAGGAAAATGCAAATCAGAACTACAATGGCCAGCTGCCAAAAAAACCACCAAAAACCAAAACCAAACTTACACTTTATACCCACTAGAATGGCTCTAATCAAAGACAGGCAGTAACAAGCATTGTGTAGGATGTGGAGAAACTGGAGCCCTCACACCCTACTGGCAGGAGTGGAAAACAAGGTAGTCATTTTGGAAAACAGTCTGGTAGCTCCTCAAAAGGTTAAACATGACCCAGTAATCCTGTTCCTAGGTATATACTAAAGCGAAATAAAAACATATGTCCACACAAAGAGGTGTACACAAATGGACACAGTAACATTATCCACAATAGCCAAAAATATTTCCATTTTTTTTCCCATATGTTCACTAACTGATGAATGGATAATGAACATGGTATAGCCATACAATAAAATATTATTATTATTATTATTTTTGTCTTTTGTCTTTTTCCGTGTCTGGCAACGGATCGCAACCCTCAGTGTTGCCCCCGTACCGGACCGGGGACCGGCAATGGGATTGCAACCCTCGGTGTTGCTCCCGCGCCTCGCTCAGCCAGTGAGCGGGAACCGGTCTGTATGTGGGATCCGAACCCTCAGGCGGGAGCGCCGCCGCGCTTCCCAAGCGGCGCACCTATCTAGTGCGCCACCGGGCCGGCCCCTAAAATATTATTTAGCTATAAAAAGGAACGAAGTACTACAACATTTTACAACATACATGAACTTTTCGTTATGCTAAATGAAAGAAGCCAGTACAAAGGACCACATACTGTATGATTCCATTTATATAAAATGTCCAGAATAGGCAAATCTATTAAGATAGAAAATATGTTAGTGGTTGCCTAGGCTGGGAGCTGGTGTTCGGGGGACTGGGGACCAATGGGCACAGGGTTTCGTTTTAGGGTGATGAAAGTGATCTAAAATTAGCTTGTGCTGATGGTTATGTAACTCTGTGAATACAATAAAAACCACTGATGTATTATATACCTTAAATGGGGGCATGAGAGGGATTGGAGAGGTGACAGCTAAGGAGGATGAGGTTTCTTTTTGGGGGTAATAAAAATGTTCTAAAATTTATTGTGGCATCAGTTGATTGATTCTGTGAATATAGCAAAGCCATCACTTTAAATGGGTGAGTTGAACAGTACGAGGGTACTTCAAAAAGTTTGAGGAAAAATGAAATTAAAAGATAATATGAATCATTCCATGAACTTTTGAAGACCTCTGGAATGTGAATTATATCTCAATAAAACTATTAAAAAACAAAAATTATATATATATATATATATTTTTTCCTTTTTGTCTTTTTTCGTGACCGGTAACGGGATCGCAACCCTCGGTGTCACGCCCGCACCACGCTCAACCAGTGAGCGGACCGGTCTCTATATGGGATCCGAACCCTCGGCGGGAGCGCCGCCACACTCCCAAGCGCCACACTCTATGGAGTGCGCCACTGGGCCAGCCCCTACAAAAATAATATATTGAATCAAGCTTAAAATTGGCCTCACTTTTTTTAAAATTTAAAAGGCTTATTTTTAGGTTTGTTTAAATATTAGCACTATCATCATAAATACTATAGTTATATTTTCCAGCATTCATTTTAAGACAGGAAGGAATGCAGATATAATGTATTAGGCAAAATTAAAAAGAATAAGGAAATAGAGAAGTAACCATTAATTTTTTTTCTTCAGACAATTAATAAGTGATATTTCATTTACCTATAACCAGAAGACACTGAACCAGTACATAAAAACTAGAAAAAAATCATGTTGCTTGGGAATTTGTTTCCTTTAAACAGCTGCTTTTGATTTATTCAATCAAAATATGCCACAGCCAAAAAGTCATATCACAGCAATGGATATTACATAAGTTAATGTAATTAATTAACAGTATTCTATGGCCAGTGTTAATGTTGAGATTGGCTGCTAGTATTTACTGCTATTTTCTAATAGTAATCTAGGGCTTCTACTGTTTTTCTGTGTTTTGTTTTGTTTTATTGCCAATCCCTAATTTTGGGTAATTATGGTGTTCCTTTAATATTAAGGGGTACCACTAGTGTACCAAGCACAAGTCCTGGTAAAGATAATAAATGATGAATAGTCACTTTAGTTCTAGCAGCATATGTGCCTATGCAAATATAGTAACATAATAAAATAATATTTCCTATTATCTTTTAAAAAAAATAAACATATTAAAAACTGCCTGAAATTTATTTATTTTTTGTGACTGGTAAGGGGATCGCGACCCTTGGCTTGGTGTCGCCCGCACTGTGCTCAGCCAGTGAGTGCACCGGCCATCCCTATATAGGATCTGAACCCGCGGCAGGAGCGCCGCTGCGCTCCCAGTGCCACACTCTCCCGAGTGAGCCATGGGGCCAGCCCCTGTTGAAATTTATTATTTTACCTTTCTAAAATCCCTTCCCTCCACTTGAAGAAACCAGCAAAATCCACCTTCCTTCATGTCCCTGGGATCATAGAGATTCAATGAGTCAAATTTCCACTCCCGGAAACGACAGCCTAATTTCACTACTCTGATAAACTTTAAGTCTATCGTAGTACACACATAATGAACTTATTTTTGGCATGTTTTTTTGTGGCAAGTATATCTTGAAATTCTGTAGAAGCCCAACTACCTTCATAATGAATAGATTCCTAATTAAAAACTTTGTTCAGTTTTCTGATTAAATGTTGATTTTTTGTTTGTTTATTTAGTTTTTGGCAGCCAGCCTGTACAGGACCTTGACGTTATCAGCACCGTACTCTAACCACCTGAGCTAGCCAGCCAGCCCCTTAAATGTTGATTTTTAAAAGGTTCTTTTGGAAGACAATATGTGCAAATTGTAAATTTTCTAGTGGAGACTTTCTGGTAAGTAACCATAGTTGGGTTTAACCCACTAATCCAATCAGAGATAATTATGCATGTGCTGGATGCTAAGATGATGAAGAATGTCAATTATCATTTTATATTGGTCCCAGATAAAGAAAATATTGATCTTAAGTTAGGAGGAACAATATTTGGATTTTCCTTAAAAGAAAAATTTTGGGGGCTGGCCAGTTAGCTCAGTTAGTTAGAGTGCAGCCTCATATTATTAACACCAAGGTTATGGGTTCAGATCCCCATACCGGCCAGCCATCAAAAAAGAAAAAGAAAAACAAAGTTTTTTTAAGTTGGAGATGAAGAGAAGAAGGATACAGAAGTAATCAGGAAAGGGAATCTTTAAATTGGAAAGGCAGTCAAGAAAGAATTATGCTGCTGGTACGGTCAACAACTATATTATTTCTTTCTTTTGGCTCCAGGCTCTTGTGAGATAAGGCGAAAGGAACACCGAGGCAACCTAATTATGGAGGTAACTTTGCGGGCAGAAAAAATACCAGCAAAGGTAAGCTGAAGCCTGGTGTGAGAGTAGGCAATTATGTCTAATTCCCTAGGGGTGTGAAAGTCACTGGCTACAATTGGGCTCTGACATCTGGAAAATTCAGCCAAGCACCTAAGTCCATGAATATGCCCAGGGAAAGTTCCGACTCAGTTAAAAGATTCAGGATGAGCTGTAAAAAGTGTTCTGCTCAAGCTGAAGGATAATGTCAAGGTCATAATAATTAGAGATTAATGACTAAAAAAGCTAAAGAATCTAGGTGTTTGTTTCTTTAAAACTACTTACTACTTAGTATTCTTGTTGTAATGTTTTGATTGAGTTTCACTTTTGTGAAAATGAGGAGACTGAGGATAATTTAGTTGGAAAATGTGCTAATCTCTTATTCAATAAATCACATTTCTAACTAACTGAAGAGATGACTTGAGCCTTAACCAACGGGCTCTACTGGCTGATAATATTCCTAAGAAGTCCCAAGTGATAACTTAAATCTATCAAGTGGCAACACACTTTAGATACTGAAGAAATATTTGCATTTCTGCCAGTATCCTAAATCCCTTTAATTCTCTTTAAAATTAATAAAATATAGTGCTTGCCAACAAAAGGAATGACAATGTAAAAGGTTGGAACATGCAAATCCATGGATCTCTGTACAGCAAAGAGTGAAATATATTAATGAAATTTCTGTACACAAATATATTATAGCCATGAAGTCTTATTGGAATAATAATTTCAAACAAATCTTTTACTTTATAAAATAAATACCAAAAGACCAGCCTATAAACAGCCAATTAAAACAATCTGAAGGGCAGAATTTGGCCTATTAACAAACTTAACTATAACAAAAGCACCATTTTATTCTTGGAGAGGATGATAATGTAGCTACCTAAAGGAATCTATGACTTTGCAATGTACAGAAATGCACATACTTTCCTCTGGATCTTCACCCGCTAGGATGCTGCTGGAAAGTTCCTGGACAGCAGCTCGTGACTCAGGTGTAGACTGATGAGGCCCAAGATGACTGTCCCTCTGGGCTTCCCATTCTTCATTGAAGCCACCATCATCATTCTCTGTAACAGTGTCTTGTGATTCATTTTCTGCACCTTTAAGAGAAAGTGGAAATTACAGCTCTAATATTTAGAAAAAAATCTTAATACCTTTAAGAATATTACATGGAAGGAGTAACTACCTGTCACTGTAAGTAGGTTACCTGGCTCTTAAACCACAAAGCATGGACTGCAGCAGTTCCTGCTGGCTTGCTTACCCAACAGCTATTTTTTCCCTTATTTCCTGAGGGCAGAATCCTGATTTGTTTGGGTTTCCACACCTCACCTACGTGACTCTGGTGGTAAATCTTAATCAATCCAAGGCAAGCACGGTAATCTCACCGTTCCTCCTCCCAATGAAAGCTCTAAGGCTGTAGGGTTGTGACTCAGTACTACCCAATGAGTGGTGAGGCAAAGTCTTCTGGGAACTTTTTTTCACACTTTAAGAGAGACTCAAGGAAGAAATAATCAGCCCCTTTCTTCCCCTGAGTGTTGTCTTATCTGAGTACGATGCATGGAACTGCAGTTGTCCTGACCATGATGAGCAGTGAGCTGAGGACAAAGCCTATATGCTAAAGATGGCAGAGTAGGAAGATGGAAAGAACCTGGGCCCTAGATAACATCGATGAGCCAAACTAACCAACTCTACAAATGCCTACACCTCAGGACTTCCTGTCATGTGAAAGAATACATTTCTTCTTTGTTTAAGGCAACTGAGTTAGGTTTTTCTGTTCTTTGCAGCTGAAAGCTTCCTAACTGATGACACTCACCATTGGCGTTAGTGACTGAGTTATAAAAGTGGAGGAGGGGAAGGTTAGGAAAGGAAGGGAAGTGGATTTCTTTATGGGCTAGTCATTTCATTATAATGTCTGTCAATCTGATTGAAAATATAAGCATAATAGCCTTGAGAAACATCTACACATTAAAAATAATTAAAAAACACGGTCAAGGGTTTGGATCCCTGTACCAGCCAGCTACCAAAAAAAAAAAAATATATATATATATGTTAAAAAATATAAGTGAAATTCACCATACTTTACTTCCTCCTTTATTTTTTTTTTCCTTTTTGTCTTTTTTCGTGACCAGTAACGGGATTGCAACCCTCGGTGTTGCACCCGCACCGCGACCGGCAACGGGATCGCAACCCTCGGTGTCACGCCTGTACCACGACCGGCAACAGGATCGCAACCCTCGGTGTCGCGCCCGCACCGCGCTCAACCAGTGAGCGGACCGGTCTCTATATGGGATCCGAACCCTCAGCGGGAGTGCCGCCGCGCTCTCAAGCGCCGCACTCCACCGAGTGCGCCAGCGGGCCGGCCCTCCTCCTTTATTTTTTATAAAAGTAATACATATTCATAGTAGAAGCAGATTTATCATGAAGGAACAAAGCTTGCTCAGGGCTCTCACTTGCACGCCTTTCCTCTAAGAGGACTCCAGCAATTTTGTATTGGTAATTTTGTATTCTTTTTCCTAACCAGGTCTCCACAAAACCAGTATCGTCCCTGGTTCAGAGTTTATGAAATCATATAAGAGTAAGATTTTTATAAATAAAAACAGCAGTCCCTGTTCTGCCCCATTCCTCTTCACTCCTGATCCTCATTCCTACTTTCAATTCTTTTAGCTGTTTCTTTTGGTATTTACCTGTTTCTTTTGGTATTTACCTTCATAATTAATTATAAATAGCATGCTCATAGTGCTATATCTTGTTTTAAATACTTATTCACTTCCTATAGGGAAGATGAAGCATTAGCTCACATACTCTCCTGCAAGCATACAAATTTAACTTTTTTCCATCTTCCCAATGTCATAATTTTATGTTAAATTCAGTTTTTTTATTATTACCACCATGCAAATAGTATTCACAACTAAACTACTTTGCTACAGCCAGAATATACTATAATTTTATTTGCTTTTTCTGAACTTTTTATTTTCTCTGGAAAATTGCCTCATTTTCTTCATTGACTAATTTTCTACGTACTATCTATGACTAATTAATCCTCAAACTCTCAGACAGAGTTCAAACACATCAGGTAACCTCTCAGTTCTATTATTGTTTTCCTTTCATAGACATCCTTCATGGGGCCCCAGGTCCATTTGTTCCAATGTAACTTCTAGTTCCTCTAACACAGTGGTTTTCAACTAGGGGGCACACCTCCCTTCCAGAGACTGTTTGAAAATAACTAGGATGAAGGAGTTTCTAGTTATTGCAATGCCTTGAAGCCACTATTTAGTAGGTGAGGGGCCAGGGATGTTAACGATCCTGCAATATGAGGGGAAGTCCCACACAATGAAGGACTGTCCCACCCAGAATGCCAACAGCACTTGCACTGGGGAACTCTACAGTTCAGCCAGCTCCTTCCTTTTCATTTCAAAGCGCTTGTCCATGTTGTTTCTCTTCTGGAACACTATCCTTCCATTCTTCAGCAGGCCATTGTCTATTATCAACTTCCTCAGGGAAGCCTTCCTTGACTTTCCAGAATAAATAAAATTCCCCTACTATAAACTTTCATAGCAACTTATATTTCTTCTTTATAGTACTTATCGCAATTGTATGAATTATTTATACAATCATTTGTTGAACATCTATCTCCCGCAATAGATAAACTCCACGAGGGCAGGAATGTCTTCTTTGTAGTATATCCCCAGTGCCTGGCAAAGTACCAGGCACATAGGTGCTCAAATGACACTTGTCAAAAGAATAAAATCTTGACATAAGTACACACTGATACTCACACACACATATACTCACAGACAATTAACCCTTTTTTTTTTGTGGCTGGCCAATATGGGGATCCAAACGTGTGATCTTGGTGTTATGAGGCTGTGCTCTAACTAACTAAGCTAACTGGCCATCCCCGACAATTAACCTTTTAATTTTCTTTAGCTTAACACAGGTTAACTTAATAACCGGGCTTGTAACTATTTTGGGGGGGAGGAGGGGCAGCTGGCCAGTATGGGGATCTCAACCTTGACCTTGGTGTAATAATTGTTTCCAATACATTTCCTACTATTTTACTAGGTCTGTTACTGGCCTAATGCCACCCTTCTTCTCCGGCCTTGCTCACTGAAGAATGAAGCCTGGTATCTTTGGGTCCCAAATATAAATTCCTAGTTGAAAGTGCCCTCCTTGCAGCTACCCAAATGCTAAGTCGGGATTTTCTTGGCTGTATAAAACCTAAACTCTTCCTTTCCTGAAAAACAGCAACTCAGTTAAAGCCTTTTTTTCTTGTTTCACCAATCTTCATTTTGCCTATGTTTTTAGCTTCCTTGTTAGGTTAGTCCTTTATTTTTCCTTAAAAAACAAAAAGTTTCCTTTCTTCTTTCCTGTTTATATTCTGCTGTTATTCCTCAACTCTTTTTAATATAGGATGAGATTCCCTAATCCAAAAATCCAAAATGCTCCAAAAACCGAAACTCTTTGAGTGCCAACATGATGCTCAAAGTTAACGCTAATTGGAGCATTTTGGATTTTGGATTTTTGAATTAGGAATGCTCAACCAGTATATATTCTACAAATATTTCAAAATCTGAAAAAAAAACGCAAACTCCAAAATACTTCTGGTCCCAAGCATTTCAGACAAGAGATAGTCAACCTTTAACAACTTCTAACTTGTGTTCTTAATATCTTCTGTAGCACCCACAGTGGGTCTTTCAATCTCCCATCCTACATCATTATTATTATCCCCTTCCAGAAAGTCATATCCACCTGGAATATTTGATCTTCTCAGTATAAACATTACAACATCTCAAATCAAATTATATTTAAGTTACTCTGGCCATGTGAGACAAGAGATTCTCATGTTTACATGTTTGGAGAGACAGCTTATTTTTTTCTTTTTAAAATCATACTCTCAGGGGCCAGCCCGTGGCTCACTCGGGAGAGTGTGGTGCTGATAACACCAAGGCCACGGGTTCGGATCCTATATAGGGATGGCCGGTTAGCTCACTGATTGAGCGTGGTGCTGGCAACACCAAGTCAAGGGTTAAGTTCCTCTTACTGGTCACCTTTAAAAAAATTAATCAATTAATTAATTAAATAAATAGTAAAATCATACTCTCAACTTGAACCTTTCATACTAGTATTATGTATTTAATAGCAGAAATAGGGGTGCCTTGATTGTATTGTTGGGTTTGGAGTATCTGAACTCCTTAATTATTTATTTGTGTATTTACCGCAGCTGTTAGGAGATTCTCAAAGGAGTCCAAGACCAAAGTAAGAGGTTAAAATCATTGCTTTATAACCCACTGTTAGCTTATAAGATGACAATGACCCTGAAAAACCAGGATATCACCAAATAACAGTAACCTACTTTCTGCATTATACTTGGAATTTCTGGATACCCTCCTTTGGGCTTCTGGATCTCCTTCTGCCATATTCACCAACCACACCATTGTTGCTGTTGAGAAAGACAAAATTCCAGGTAACTATTGGAAACACAGAAGGAAAGTGCATGAATAGACAGTAGGCCATTATTTCTTGACATAAATTACCAATCTTCTTAATGCTGCCTTAAGAATCCTTAACCATCAGAAGTAAATGCATATTAAAAACCATAAAGATTCTCTTTGGTTTCAGCAGACAAAAGAAAAAATTCTGAAACTGAATGTTTGCTATGGTTTTCAAACTGCAGCTGCTATCACAAAACTGTTCATTATCATTTATAGTCCCTGAAAAGTAAGCAGAAGGAAAACTGTTTCAGGCCACCAAGATTCTATTGAAACAATAGCTGGACTAGTTCAATATCAAAATAGTGTCAACTCACTGATGAAAGTTACTTATTGGAATTAAGTTTGGAGACAAACTGGGCTCACAAAAGCCCCAGATGATTATAATTCTAAAGATGCATAAAATAAATTTCCTTCATATTATGTACTACTTTGGGAATTTTCAGCAATGCTCAACTGTACTTTATATATGAAGAAAAAAAAGGTTAAAAACAATAAACACAAAAGGGACAGTCAGTCTCTCTACGTTCCTTCTACAAAAATACATATGTAAATTAAATACATATACATCTACATATCTATACAGATCTAGATATACGACACATCTCTATCGCATTTTAGTTAAGAGACAATGTGAATACTTTAAAATGCTGATTGTCTCTCTTATATATTGCAGGTAGGAATGAAAAATGGTATAATCTCTATTGGAGGGGAATTTGGTAACATCTAACATAACTATATGTGCATTAACCCTTCAACCCAGCAATACCATTTTTGGGAATTTATTCTGAAGACATACCTACGATAACACAAAAATACATTTAAACATGTGTCATGTGAGGCTATAGCAAGCACCAAATGTCAGCAGCAATCTGTTCACAGTAATTTTATTTTATTATTATTATTATTTTTTGGTGGCTGGCCAAAAAATTGAACCCCTGGACTTTGGAGTTATCAGCACCACGCCCTCTCTGGCTTATTACTATGATTCTATAATTACACCCATGTTCCTAATACTCTTAGTCTCCTTAAAGAACTTACGAAAGAAATACACAACCAAAGAGACTGTAAATTCTGTAACAGTCACACTATTACTCATTCATCACGGCCTTGTAATTTTTGAGGTCAAACAAGTTTTATTATATGATAACCCAACTAACTGATCAAAAGTCATAGCCAGAAAGGCAATATATTGCTTAACTAAATCTAGATCCAAAGAGTCCAAGAAGGACAAACACCATGTATAAGGTTTATGGATTTCTACTGCCTTCTTGGCAATAAAGGTAGCAGGCATTTTTCTTTTTCTATGCACATATGGAAAAATACAGCCTAAACTCTTTTGTTTTACCATTAAACATTACCATGGAAACCAGGGGTCAGCAAAATTTTACTGTAAAGGGCCAGAGAGTACACATTTCAGGTTTTGTGGGTTACATATTCTTCTTTGTTCTTTTCTTTAATTTTTTTTTTTTTAAACAACCCTTTAAAAATGTAAATACCATTCTTAGCTTACAGGCTGTACAAAAATAGGCCATGGGCCCATTTGACTGTGGTCAGTAGTTTGCTGACCACTGATATACATGATCATAAATAGTGTATTTGTTGAATGAATAGTACTAAAATAATATCCAGAAAACCAATTTTCTATCTTTTAACACCAAACACCTTAGATCAATAGGAAAATATGCAGATTAAAAATTAATATAATATATAATCCCCCCAACTGACATGAAATCAAAGAAAAGCTTTACATAAACTGACACATCTCATGGGATTTTTACCTTCATTTTTAGATTAGCTACCAGAGTGGACCGCCTCTGGTAGTTACTATGAAGAAAGAAGGAGGAGTTCAAAGAGTAGGTGTACATCTTTCCTGTCAGATGACAGAAATAACAAACAAAAATGCGGCCGGCCTGGTGGCGCACTGCTACAGTGCGCCGCTTGAGAGCGTGGCAACGCTCCCGCCGAGGGTTCGGATCCCACATACAGACCGGCCACTCACTGGCTGAGCGAGGTGCGGATGCAATGCCGAGGGTTGCGATCCCGTTGCCGGTCCTGGTCCGGTACGGGCGCGACACTGAGGGTTGCGATCCGTTGCCAGTCACAAAAAAAGACAAAAAAAAAAAATGCTCACACATATCCTGAGGGGAAGAGCCTTTTGTGACTGAATACCTTTAATTGGGAGAGAGTATAAAAATAAATAAAAGGATTATATTTTTTAAAAATATATAGCCATGGGCCGGCCCGTGGCTCACTCGGTAGAGTGTGGTGCTGATAACACCAAGGCCACGGGTTCGGATCCTATATAGGGATGGCCGGTTTGCTCACTGGGTGAGCATGGTGCTGACAACACCAAGTCAAGGGTTAAGATCCCCTTACCGGTCATCTTTAAAAAAAAAAAAAAAAAAAAAAAAAAAAAAAATATATATATATATATATAGCCAAGAAGATTGATTTAAAACTTCTCACAGGCATGTTTATATCCACTTCAGGGAAAGAGTACTGTTTAGTGATGCTGTTTTCTAACACTCCGTTAAAAAACAACAACAGGGTGACCCCCTGGCTCACTCGGGAGAGTGTGGCGCTGCGAGCACAGCGGCGCTCCTGCTGTGGGTTTGGACCCTATATAGGGATGGCCGGTGCGCTCACTGGATGTGTGCTGAGCATGGTGCGGGCGACACCAAGCCAAGGGTTGCGATCCCCTTACCGGTCACAAAAAAAAGGAAAAAAAAAAAAAAACCCTCAAACTTGATGACTTATAAAATCCTTACCACCAATAAGTATTTCATAAGAACAAATGCTTTCTTGAACCCATCTGATCTACACAAGAGGTAAAAGTTTACACTCCTGTTTTCTCATATATGTTGAATTATTGCTAAAATACATCAGCATGCCACGTGTTCTGTAATCATGATACGCACTTGAGTTTTAAAAAATATTATATATGACAGATATTTAAAACAACAGAGTAAATGTTTTTTTCTGAGTATACAATAAACATACACATTTAATGTGGCTAAAAACCTGTTCCTAATTCTTCACCCCTCCCTGCACCCACACTCTTCCCATGGACTCATTGTGAGTGGATGTATTTTCCCTTCTCCTGAATTAGGGCTCAACTATGTGACTTGCTTCAACCAGTGGCATGTGGGCAAGGTGCCAGTGTGCAAATACCAAGCCTACACCTTAAAAAGGCCTTGTTGCCCTCTTGCACCTCTAGCCATAAGAAGAACATGTCTTCAGCTAGCCCCTTGGTCCAAGGAGGATGAGGAACAGAGAGAGTAAAGCCATCACCACTGAGTCATGTTAGTTCAGTCAACTGACCTGCAGATGCATGGGTTAAGTGATTATTCTTTTAAGGCACTTAGTTTTGGAATGTTTTGTTATGCAGCATTATTTTAGCTATAACAACAGTAGAACAATGTAAAATTATGCCAACACAAAAATTTAAAACTCACAATTCCTCTGACACCCACAATTAACATCTGAAAAATTATACAAACTACGATTAAAACTACAAATAGAGAAGAGTATAAGGAAAATGTAACAGTTCAATCTCTAAATTCCACTTCCCAGAGGTAAACAGTACTACTATATTATCAGTTTTTTAAGTATACCACTGGAAATTTTTATATACATGGATACACTCATACATATACAGCTCCTTTCCCCCATTGTCACACCCAGGATACTGCATGTACTGCTTTAAATCTTGCTTTTTTATTTAATATACAATCTTGGACATTTTTAATAATTGGGTATATATACAGCTACCCATTCTTTTTAATGGTTGTGCAATTACCCACTGTATGAATATACTGTAATTATGTGAAAGTATCCCGTTCTGATGGACACCTAGGTTACTTCCAGTTTTTCCCTAATATAAAAATTGCTTCAGTGAACATCCTTCAATACTTTTGCAAGTATATTTCTTAGTCTAAATTCCTAGCATTCACTATTAACACTTCATGTAACATTTCATAAGCACAAATATAAAATACATAAGTAGATTTTAATTTCCAGGAATAACATGGAAGCAGCTCACATTCAAATGTTCATTAAAGAGGAAAATGTTGATGCTCAAAACTCATCTGCTCTTTTCTGCCAATAACACAGTAAGCACATGATAATAAACTTACATTGGAAATAAAGTAAAAGAAATATCCTTGCATTCCAAACAACAGCTATTCTAAAACTTTACCAGACTTCTCCAGGTACAAGCATGACCCCCATCTTCTACACTTCCCACAAATGACATCAGGTTCACCAGAAAGATCGAGGTCAACTGACATGTGCTCCCGACTTTACCTCCCCGTTTCACTATGTCTCACTCTCTTCTGCTTTTCTGTCTTCCTTCTCCTTCCTCCCAGGCCTTTCCCTGTTCTAGGCCTAACTCCTCTTCCTCAACTCTTGGAGTAATTTCTATCTGCTTTGTTGGTAACCTTGCTCTATTAATTACTGCCTTCTTTTTTTTTTTTTTTTTCCTTTTTGTCTTTTTTACTGACCGGTAACGGGATCGCAACCCTCAGTGTCGCGCCCGTACCAGGGACCGGCAACGGTGTTGCGCCCGCACCGCGCTTAGCCAGTGAGTGGGAACCGGTCTCCACATGGGATCCGAACCCTTGGCGGGAGCGCCGCCACACTCCTAAGCAGCGCACTCTCCAGTGCACCACTGGGCCGGCCCAATTACTTCCTTCTTACTAGTCTCTTCAAAGCCTTTCTCCACTGGCTCCTTCCCCTCAACCTTAGAAAAATGGTTAAATCTTCCTTCCCCTGAAAACACCTTTCCTCAAACCTCTCTTCTCAAGTCACCACCTGCTCTCTCTATGAGACAGGAACCTTTGAAGTAGTGGGTGATATTTACTATACCTCTCCTTCTTCACCACCCATTCTCTTTCCATACCTTTACTTCCATTGCCAGCACCCACAAGACACACACACGCTTTCTTCCTTTTGGAATACTGCTTCTCTTGAATGTGACTAATGATGTCTTAGGCACCAAATCCTATATAGTTTACTTAGTCCTCATTATCTTTGACTTCTTTATATCATTCTCTCCTTCTTAAAGCTCTGTTTTTCTAATAACCCAACAGAAAAATAGGCAAAAAAAAATCTACAAAGATATACATCAAACTGATAACAGAGATAACTACTTGCTAAGGTATTAAGATTAGAGATGACAGTTACAGTGAAATTTACCTTCATCTGTAATTTTTATCTCTTTTCAAGGATAATGTATTAATGTACATTAACATAATGTATTACTACTTGCATAATTAAAAGATCATTTTAAAATATGGAAAAGAATATTATACCAAGCCAGTCAAAAAACAAGAAATACAAATATGTAGCTAAGAAACACTTGAAAAAAAAATTCAATTAATAAGACAAACAATGCAAAATAAAACAAGAGGTTATTTTTTGCCTGTTAAATCTCACACACACAAGTATTAATGAAGGGGTAAAGATATTGGTAATGTTCACATTACTGAAGAGAATGTAAACTGGCACAGCCTTTTTAGGAGGCAATTTGGTAATATCTATGAAAATTTAAATGCACACATCCTTTGACTTAGCAATTCCACTCTAAGAATGTATCTTATAGGCTGGCCCGTGGCTCACTCGGGAGAGTGTGGTGCTGATAACACCAAGGCCACGGGTTCGGATCCTATATAGGGATGGCCGGTTTGCTCACTGGCTGAGCGTGGTGCTGACAACACCAAGCCAGGGGTTGAGATCCCCTTACCGGTCATCTTTTTTTTTTCCTTTTTGTCTTTTTTCGTGTCCGGCAATGGATCGCAACCCTCAGTGTCGCGCCCGTACCGGACCGGGACCGGCAAAGGGATCGCAACCCTCGGCGCTGCACCTGCACCTCGCTCAGCCAGTGAGCGGGAACCGGTCTGTATGTGGGATCCGAACCCTCGGCGGGAGTGCCGCCGCACTCCCAAGCTACAGTGCGCCACCAGGCCGGCCCCCGGTCATCTATTTTAAAAAAAAAAAAAGAATGTATCTTATAATATTCACAAATTCATGGACATTTTCTGTAAGCACTGTTTGTGATAGAAAGATAAATGACCTAAATGTCTACCAATAAGGACACCTACTACTGAATATCTATATAAGAGAATACTATGCAGCCATTTCATGTACTGACATGATAAAAGTCATAATATTGTTAAATGAAAAACACTGACATTCCCAATTTTCTGATATTTTCTTTTGTTCCCTTTAGTATTGTCTCTCCATTTTCTCAGTCTATAAACACAGTAGTTAACAAAGTTCTACCCTTGGCATCCTCTTCTACTTTTATATGAATCACTCACCCACTCATACAGCTTAACTATCACACCTCTATGCTGATGTTCTTCAACTCTGCATCTCCAATATTAACTTCTTCCCAAGCATTAGTACTTCATTTCTAAACTCCTGCTGGAAATGTCTACCTGAATGGCCCAAAGGTACTGTCAATTAAATTAGATATGGGCCACCGACATAAAAAGCTAAATAAATACCTCAAACAAGAAAAATTTTTCTTCTTCATCATCTTTCCTGCAGGCTTAAATCTGCTCTCCCCAGTTGCTAGGAAATACTGACTCTAACTCTGAAATCTCTCAAGTTCTTCACTCAGTTGCCAACACCATAATTTAGACCCTCATTATTTTCAAACTAGATCATGGCAATATCCTTTTAGTTATGCTTTAGTATACTTCCCATTATCTCAGTGCCCATCTCCTCAAATTCATCTTACACAATGCTGCCCGCTTATGAAGGCACAGCTCTGATCACACTATTCTTCTGCTCAAGAACCACCTATGATCTCTGAATAGCATACAGATATCTAAACTAGTCACTCAAAGGCATCCTTGATCCTACTCTAATCTGCCTTTCCAAACATGTCTCCTAGTACTATCCCCATTTTGAACTCCATGTTCTAGTCAAATTGAACACTTGTAATTTGATAAAGATGCCCCACACTTTATACCTCCAAGACATTCTACGTGATAGCCCACTTTTGGAATTTACCCTTTCATCTGTACTTGCTGAAATCATGTCCATCCTTAAAAAGTTCAAACTAGGGGCCGGCCCGGTGGCGCACTGCGATAGTGCGCCGCTTGGGAAGCACGGCGGCGCTCCTGCCAAGGGTTCGGATCCCACATACAGACCGGTTCCCCGCTCACTGGCTGAGTGAGGCGCGGGAGCAACGCCGAGGGTTGCGATCCTGTTGCCGGTCCTGGTCCAGTACGGGGGCGACACTGAGGGTTGCGATACGCTGCCGGACACGGAAAAAGACAAAAAAAAAAAAAAAAAAGTTCAAAATAAATGCTTTTTTTTTTTTTTTCTTTTTTTTTTTTTTTTTTGTCTTTGGTAAGGGGATCACAACCCTTGGGGGGGGGTCACCCACACCACGCCCAGCCAGTGG